CACGCTTCCGAAATGTTGAAGAAGTGCGAGAATGGGTGGACGAATGGATTGCTTCGAAACAAACATCGTTTTATCGAGATGGTATCGCCCAGTTGCCAGAAAGATGGCAAAAAGTTGTAGAAAGTGATGGAAAATACTTTCATTGAAATAATTTAAATAAATTTTTTACAATAAATGCTTTTTCTCAGTATTTTTTGGGCGGAAACTAAGTTAAGGTCCTAATAGAATGGAGGAAGTTATAAATCCGTCTTACATCCTTAGATTCAAAACTAATCTTATAACGAGGTCCTGCCGTAACTAGTAATGATTACTAACATTACATTTTTTCCAACTCTAAAGACATTGTTGCTTTATTGCAGCCCTAAAAATATTGAGAGGTTTTAAACGTGCCATAGTCGTTTTCATTTATTTCTTTATTCCTACACTGATTCCTTTAATTAAGCCGTTCTCTACATGGCCTATAAATTATTTCCGCAAACGTTTTAAGGCGACTATAAAGTATAGAGAACAAACAGGAAATAAGAGAGGAGATTTTGTAGACTTTCTGATAATGCTCAAGAATGGAGAAGAGAATCCTCTGTTCAGTAAGTATCATTCAGCCCGTAGAATAATAAAAGTAATTATACACGGAAAAAACAATATGGTTGATCCATACAGAAATCTAGTTGTGCCAACCAGATTCAATAGATAAAAACAATTTGTGGTTGCTGTAACCAAAGAGCAATGGCTGAGTTACTTATGTCGCAGCAGTGATATAAGATGTAGTAAAAAGAAATCCATTATTTTTGCATGAAATTGAAGGTTTTTTTAGCATAGTTAGAATGATACGATTTAGGTCACATATGCACCGTTTTGTTCGATAACTTGTTGAAGGTAATTCTATTATGCCTCTCTCATAGAAACCCTTGTCCCTATTGGCAAAAAACTGGGACAGTCGATTTTCACAAGCTTCTCTTGAGGCGAATTTTTCACCAGCAAAATCATTCGCCATAGATAGGAACAGGTGGTAATCACTTGGTGCCAGGTCCGGACTATAAGGTGGATGCATAAGAACCTCCCAACCAAGCTCTCGGAGCTTCTGGCGAGTCACTATCGATGTGTGTGGCCTGGCGTTGTCCTGATGGAACACAATTCCTCTCCTATTGGCCAAAGCTGGCCGCTTCTGGGCGATTGATTCCTTCAGACGGGCCAATTGTTGACAGTACAGGTCCGAATTAAGAGTTTGGCTGTAGAGGAGCAGCTCATAGTGGATGATTCCCTGCCAATCCCACCAAATACATAGCAAAGCCTTCCTGACCGTCAATCCTGGCTTGGCCACCGTTTGCGCCGGCTCACCGCGTTTCGACCACGACCGTTTTTGCTGACGTTATCGTAAGTGACCCACTTTTCATCACCAGTCACCATCCGCTGCAGAAATGGATCGATTTTGTTGCGATTCAGCAGCGATTCGCAGATGGAAATTCGGTCCATGAGGTTTTTTTGCGTTACCTCGTGTGGCACCCATACATCGAGCTTCTTTTTGTATCCAGCCTTATTCAAATGATTCCAAACGGTTTTTTGTGCAATGTTTAGCTCTTGGGCAATCGAAACAGTACTTACATGACGGTCGGACTCGACGATTTCCATTATTTTATCGATTTTTCGATAAATTGGCCTTCCAGAGCGTGATGCATCTTTGACATCAAAATTACCGGAACGGAATCGACGAAACCAAAATTGCGCGTGATTGGCTGTTATAGTATCAGGACCATAAACACTATTCACATTTTCAGCCGCCTGGCTTGCATTTTCGCCTTTATCGAAGAAAAACTGTAAAATATGGCGTATTTTCTCTTTGCTGGTGTCCATCTTTGACGCGCGCTCAAACAATACAGAGTCAAACAATCACAAAACTGTCTGAGAAGTTTTTTTAGTACAAAATCTTATCTTTCTAACGCCATCTAGCGTACACCGATCGCACTTATACAACGCGAGATACACATTACTAAAGCCATCTATTGGAAAAATAATGGATTTCTTTTTACTACACCTAATAATACATGGTTAATACAAACGCGGCAACTACAAATGCAAATTTATACACTCAGAACTAGTTTTCACATGTATACATCTCTAGCTATGCGCGTAATTAATTGCTTTGTTTTCTAACATCGCTGCTTTGCAATATAGCATTGGTTAATGCAACTATATCCATATTTACGTCTATGCAAAATGATCCCGTTACTAATTTCTGGTTGTCACAACCAGATCACGCGCAACTTCATTGATGTAGTTGACACACCAAAGTAAGTCAAATCAACCATACACATAACTATCATACAAAGATATGTAGAATGATGCAGCTATTTGCTTACAACTAAATATTTTTTGTTAGGTGCACCACATCTCTTTTTTCCGTGTATGATAACAATATATAGAGTGTCTGACAACTCATTACGCACCCGCGATGTATAAAATATAAAGATAGTAACAAAAAATCCTTTACTGTTTTGCAAGTAATCATGTAGATTTTTAGTTATTAATTAAAGATGATTAGTACATAGTTGCTCGCGATAATTTAATTAATAACTAAAAATCTGCGAGTTTATAAAATGATAGAGGACTTTTTTGTTCAGACCTAAGATACAAGTACAGCAGACGTTACAGCTAATCTACCGTACGCGCGTGATCATTTACCAATCTTCTCTAATAATTAAAAATTTTACGTGGTTGTTTGCAAAATGGTAAAGGAATTTTATATTCAGTTTGATGAGTTCTACTTATACACCACGACTGCATAATAAATTGCCGGATATTCTACATGTACTATTATATTTATTTTATATGTTGATATATCAATTTACTATCAATGTCATATATTTTATATTTTCCCGTTAAGTTAATGAATCATCGAATATTGAGAGATACTTGTTGACATTAATAATAACATTGATCTACATTTGATAATTACATTATAGAATTCGAAAGCGAGAACGCTTTGCTGGCGCAAGCATCTGGTTTTTACGTTGCTGGATTCGAATCGTCTGGGACCTTAATTGCGTGGGCTATTTACGAATTGGCGCATAATCCGGAGTATCAAAACACTTTGTACGAGGAAATAAAGAAGTATCTGTCAGGGAAAGAAATAACTATGGAATTAATTAACGAAATGCCTTTCTTGGATTGCGTTGTAAACGAAGCGTTGAGGTTGCATCCTCCTATACCAGTCGTCGACAGGATAGCTGAAAAGGACTTTGAGGTAATCGACACAAACCTCTAACCCCTTGTCCACAACCTTGCTTTAATTCCTAATTTGAGATAAAATTCAAGAAAAATGAAAAATAACAAATTAAGACATATTTTTCGCGTAATAAATTTTTACAACTGACCTGTACATGATCGTGGTCCAATACCAAATGTCAGTGATTCGTAGAATTTCTTGTTTTTTGTCTCTCTCAATGGATTTATACCAAATATCGATTTATAATTTATACCAAATATCGATACTTAACGTCAATTAACGCGCTTTTTAACGTATTTATTCGCTTTTTAACGTATAATTTTATTCACGTTTCTTGAATCTCACATTGAGACCATCAATCGGGTATTTAAATACATGAACGGTTAATTCACTGGTTTTGTTTTTAATTTCCTCATTTTTATGTGATAAACTTATTTCGTAATTCAAGACAAAATTGATTAATGTAATTTTCGCCACTAATGAGGTCAGCCTTTGTGCTGAAAATTTGAGATAAAATTCAAGAAAAATGAAAAATAACAAATTAAGACATATTTTTCGCGTAATAAATTTTTACAACTGACCTGTACATGATCGTGGTCCAATACCAAATGTCAGTGATTCGTAGAATTTCTTGTTTTTTGTCTCTCTCAATGGATTTATACCAAATATCGATTTATAATTTATACCAAATATCGATACTTAACGTCAATTAACGCGCTTTTTAACGTATTTATTCGCTTTTTAACGTATAATTTTATTCACGTTTCTTGAATCTCACATTGAGACCATCAATCGGGTATTTAAATATATGAACTGTTAATTCACTGGTTTCGTTTTTAATTTCCTCATTTTTATGTGATAAACTTATTTCGTAATTCAAGACAAAATTGATTAATGTAATTTTCGCCACTAATGAGGTCAGCCTTTGTGCTGAAAATTTGAGATAAAATTCAAGAAAAATGAAAAATAACAAATTAAGACATATTTTTCGCGTAATAAATTTTTACAACTGACCTGTACATGATCGTGGTCCAATACCAAATGTCAGTGATTCGTAGAATTTCTTGTTTTTTGTCTCTCTCAATGGAACAAAATTGCACGAATCATTGAAGTATCTAGAATCTTGATTCGTTGAATTTACAGATACATATATTGAAACACCTTTTTCAATCACTAACCCAGTCTCTGGCACCTAGTAAGAATATATAATAAAATATATAATAATTAAGGAAACGATTTGTATATAGTAACTTGTTCGATCATTTATCCCTTGTCCACAACTTTGCTTTAATCTTTAAGCCGTAATAAATTGACCAATCACAGTCGATTATTTTAAAAATAATCAACTGTTGTTGGTCAATTTCTTAAGGCTTAAAGATTAAAGCAAAGTTGACAAGGGATAAGTAATCGAATAAGTTATTATACACAAATCGTTTCCTTAATTATTATATATTTTATTATATATTATTTTAAAAATAATCAACTGTTGGTCAATTTCTTAAGGCTTAAAGATTAAAGCAAAGTTGACAAGGGATAAGTAATCGAATAAGTTATTATACACAAATCGTTTCCTTAATTATTATATATTTTATTATATATTATTTTAAAAATAATCAACTGTTGGTCAATTTCTTAAGGCTTAAAGATTAAAGCAAAGTTGACAAGGGATAAGTAATCGAATAAGTTATTATACACAAATCGTTTCCTTAATTATTATATATTTTATTATATATTATTTTAAAAATAATCAACTGTTGGTCAATTTCTTAAGGCTTAAAGATTAAAGCAAAGTTGACAAGGGATAAGTAATCGAATAAGTTATTATACACAAATCGTTTCCTTAATTATTATATATTTTATTATATATTATTTTAAAAATAATCAACTGTTGGTCAATTTCTTAAGGCTTAAAGATTAAAGCAAAGTTGACAAGGGATAAGTAATCGAATAAGTTATTATACACAAATCGTTTCCTTAATTATTATATATTTTATTATATATTCTTACTAGGTGCCAGAGACTGGGTTAGTGATTGAAAAAGGTGTTTCAATATATGTATCTATAAATTCAACGAATCAAGATTCTAGATACTTCAATGATTCGTGCAATTTTGTTCCATTGAGAGAGACAAAAAACAAGAAATTCTACGAATCACTGACATTTGGTATTGGACCACGATCATGTACAGGTCAGTTGTAAAAATTTATTACGCGAAAAATATGTCTTAATTTGTTATTTTTCATTTTTCTTGAATTTTATCTCAAATTTTCAGCACAAAGGCTGACCTCATTAGTGGCGAAAATTACATTAATCAATTTTGTCTTGAATTACGAAATAAGTTTATCACATAAAAATGAGGAAATTAAAAACGAAACCAGTGAATTAACAGTTCATATATTTAAATACCCGATTGATGGTCTCAATGTGAGATTCAAGAAACGTGAATAAAATTATACGTTAAAAAGCGAATAAATACGTTAAAAAGCGCGTTAATTGACGTTAAGTATCGATATTTGGTATAAATTAAAATAAATATTAAATTATTATATTTTTATACGTATATCTCAGATAGGAACTGCTTAAAAATGTTTAAAGAAGCCATGTAATGTTAACTACAATGAAATAAATTTATTGATAAGATTGTAGAATTCATTGCTTGTTTAATAAAATCGATTTTTCGTAGCCTAGATAATGTATTATCATTGAAGCGAGTAATTTTCCTCAAGCATCGTCCTATTGACTCCATTGCAAAATTACGGACAGCACAGCGTATCGTGATCGAACGACATATATATTTATAAATATACTATAACAGAACATTATACAAAACAACAAGCGTTTCGGCAGCGGCCGCTATTGACTCGATTTCTCTTGTAGTGTACACTAATAACAAGATATATATATAACATAAGTTAACGTCATTTTAAATATAGCTAATTAACTACTAACGATTATCTTACATTGCTGTGTCCTCTTCTCGCTTACGAATACGATAGTAAAAAAATTGGCTAGTTTGGTAGATAAAAAGGTACAAACGTTCATTGTACATCGTTTATCGATTGACTTTCTTGTGCGCTTTCATCCTCCGTCTGGGTAAAATGAGGTAGTTCAGCCTTCGTAGCCAACTCCAACGCGTGCATCCACCTGAAACATCCCATAAAAAAAAAAAAGAAACACGTATTACACTATTTGATCACGAAAAGTTGTAATCTATATAAATTGCTTGTATGACGTACTTCTCTTTGTCCTCTTGAGAAGATGCTTGAAGATAATAGCATTTTCTAGAATGGTGCATCTTGAACGCTCTAATTCGATCCTTCGTATTCAAAGGATCTTCATCGGGCAATTTTGTACCTTCGGTGACCATAAAGCCTGGCATGGGTGTTGCCGTCATGGCCATGCTCTCCGATTCCGACTTGAACGAATACAGAACGAAATCGACGTGTAGCGCGAACCATCGTCTGGTCCAGGGTTTACTGGCTTGAGTTTTCAACAACAGATAGCCGGATAATACTGAAGGCGCGCACGCTGAAACCTGCAGCAAACTTGGCACTGGTCCAGAGGGCGATGACGGTGATTTAGCGAGCGGCTGAGTGAGCGCGGCATGACATAATCTGCATACTCTCATATTCTTATTGTCTTCAAATAATAATTTCTGATTTGAGCATTTACTACAAACCACCTAGAAAAAGACATATAAATACATTGTAGATTACAATAACTATATTATTATGCACTTTACAAGATTGCGAAATTTCTTCCGAAAGGAAACTCACTATTCCACAAGCCCGGCAATTATGTTTTCGTTTCATCACAGAGAAGATAACTTCACAAACCATGCACCTAGTCACGTCATCAGCCTTAACTAAGGAAGTTTTAACATTGCCAGTCTTCAGACTGGCTTTACGTCTCATAATCTCTTGCATCGTTTG